ATCAGGCAACAGAAAGAAATCAAGCTCATTCAAATAGGAAGAGGGGAATCAAACTATTTTTGTTTGCAGATGACATGATTCTATATCTAGAAAACCCCATCATCTCAGCCCAAAAGTTAAGCTGATAAACAACTTCAGCAAGGTCTCAGGATGCAAAATCAATGTGTAAAAATCACCAGTATTCTTACACATCAACAGTCAAGCTGAGAGCCAAATCACAAATGAACACCCATTCGCAGTTGCCACAAGAAGGATAAAATACCTAGGAATACAGCTAACAATGGCAGTGAAAGATCTCTAAAAGGAGAACTACAAACCACTGCTTAAAGAAATCAGAGATGCCAGGTGTGGTGGTTCACACCTGTAATCCCAGCACTTTGGGAGGCCAAGGCGGGTGGATCACCTGAGGTCAGGAGTTTGAGACCAGCCTACCCAATATGGTGAAACTCCATCTTTACTAAAAATAGAAAAATTAGCTGGACATGGTGGCTCATGACTGTAATCCCAGCTACTTGGGAGGCTGAGGCAGGAGAATTACTTGAACCCAAGAGGCGGAGGTTGCAGTGAACCAACATCAGGCCATTGCACTCCAGCCTGGGTGACAAGAGTGAAACTCTATATCAAAAAGAAAAGAAAGAAAGGAAAAGAAAAGAAATCAGAGATGACACAAACAAATGGAAAAACATTCCATGCTCATGAATAGAAAGAATCAATATTATTAAAATGACCATATTGCCCAAAGCAATTTATAGATTCAACACTTTCCCATTAAACTACCACTGACATTCTTTGCAGACTAGAAAAATCTATTTTATCATATGGAACAAAAAAAAAAAAAGAGCCTGAACAGCCAAGACAATCCTAAGCAAAAGAACAAAGCTGGAGGCATCACACTACCCAACTTCAAATTATGCTACGGGGCTACAGTAACCACAACAGCATGGTATTGATACAAGAAAACACACATATATCAATGGAACAGAAAAGAGAACCCAGAAATAAGACTGCACACCTGTAACTATCTGATCTTCAACAAACCTAACAAAAACAGGCAATGAGGAAATGGTGCTGGGATAACTGGCTAGCCCTATGCAGAAAATTGAAACTGGACCTTCCTTATACCATATATGAAAATTAACTCAAGATGGATTAAAGATTTAGGTGTAAAACCCAAAACTATAAAAATCCTGGAAGACAACCTAGGCAGTACCATTCAAGACATAGGTATGGGCAAAGATACCATGATGAAGATGACAAAAGCAATTGCGATAAAAGCAAACATTGACAGATGGGATCTAATTAAACCAAAGAGTTTCTGCACAGCAAAAGACACTATCATCAGAGTAAACAGACAACCTACAGAATGGGAGAAATTTTTTTCTCTGATGAAAGTCTAATATCCAACATCTACAAGGAACTTAAACAAATTTATAAGAAAAAAAAATTTAAAAATGGGAAAAGGATGTGAGCAGCCACTTCTCAGAAGACATACACGTGACCAAAAAGCATATGAAGGAAAAGCTCAACATCATTACAGAAATGCAAATCAAAACCACAATGAGACCCCATCTCACACCAGTCAAAATGGCTATCATTAAAAAGGAAAAAAATAACATGCTGGTGAGGTTGTGAAGAAAAGTAATAATTTTACACTGTTGGTAGGAGTGTAAATTAGTTCAGCCATTGTGGTGGAAGACTGTATGGGGATTCCTCAAAGACCTGAAGACAGAAATACCATTTGACCCAGCAATCCCATTACTGGGTATATACCCGAAGGATTACAAACTGTCCTACTGTACAGACACATACAATGCACACATATGTTTACTGCAGCACTATTCACAATACAAAGGCATGGAATCAATCTAAATGCCCATCAGTGATAGACTCGATAAAGAAAATATGGTACATATATATATACCATGGAATACTATGCAGCCACAAAAAAGAATGAGGTAATGTCCTTTGCAGGGATGTGGATGGAGCTGGAGGCCATTATCCTTAGCAAACTAACACAGGAACAGAAAACCAAATACCACATGTTCTTACTTAGAAGTGGGAGCTAAATGATGAGAACACACTAACACATAGAGGGGAAGGGCAACAGCACACACTAGGGCCTCTCAGGGAGTGGAAGGTGGGAGGAGGGAGAGAAGGAGGAAATATAGCTAACAGGTAGTAGGCTTAATACCTGGGAGATGAAATAATCTGTATAACCAGCCCCCATGACACACATTTACCTACATAACAAATCTGCACATCCTGCACGTGTACCCCTGAACTTAAAAATAATTTTAAAAAAATGATTCAGCTTCAAAGACTGTGGTATACGAGAATAAGAAATGATCTGTGGTCAGGAAGGGGTGAGCGTGATGAGACTAGAACTCGGGGGATGACATCTCTCGTCACCCATCATTCGCATCTTCATTTACCCATCCTTCAATGGCTCACTCAAAATTCATCTCTTCTGTGAAGCCCACAAGTTTACAATGTACAGTTGATGCCCATTATTCATGGATTTAGTATGTGTGAATTCACCTAGTAGCTAACATTTATTTGTAACCCCCAAATCCATACTCACTATGCTTCTGAGGCTGTTCACAGAATTGCGCACAGTAGCACATTCCCAGCTGAAGTCCAACAAGGCACTGAAGCCTTCTTGCTTTAGCTCTCATATTGTAAGCCAGGATCCTTCTGTGATCTACAGAATGGCATGTTTTTTGCATGTTTGTGATTTTGCTTTTTAAAGGGACCCCTGAGTGCAGTGCAGATGGGCTGTCTAGTAAGCACAGGAGGCTATGATGTGCCTTACAGGGAAACTGGGAAAATATGTGTTTCATATACTCCAGACATGTGTTGTGGTGCTGCTGGCCATGAGTGCAGTGTTAATGAATCTATAACGTATGTTAAATAAGGTATCTTTAAACAGAAACACACACAGAACATGGTTGTTAACTGTCAGTTGACAAAAATGTTGTAAAGAGAGGATTACAGGAAACTAACCCAGATTTCCCCTAGGAGCAATGCTTAATTGCTAAAGAAATTAGCTTCAGTAGTCCCTAATTCATAGCTTGAGGCACCTTTGTAGAACATAACTATGGCAAATAACAAGAATCAATTGTAGCTTAAACTCAGATGGCTCTCATTTAGAACGTGTCTCTATCTCTTAATTAGTCCATATTATACATGGCTTTATATTCTAAGTATTGGTATTATACTGCCTAGCTCTTTGTTGTGTACTTTCTAATAAATAATAAAATAATAATAATACCAAAAAAAGGTAGGGGGCCCGGCACGGTGACTCACACCTGTAATCCCAGCACTTCGGGAAGCTGAGGCAGGCAGATCACCTGAGGTCAGGAGTTCAAGACCAGCCTGACCAACATGGTGAAATCCCATCTCTACTAAAAATACAAAAATTAACCAGACGTGGTGGTGCGTGCCTGTAATCCCAGCTACTTGAGAGGCTGAGGCAGGAGAATCGATTGAATCTGGGAGGCGGAGGTTGCAGTGAGCCGAGATTGCAACCAGATCCACTCCAGCCTGGGCAACAAGAGCAAAATTCCGTCTTAAAAAAAAAAAGAGTTACACACTACCTCTTGGGTAGCCCACACATTCCTCTGGAGTGTTACTCATAATACTTGATCTATGCAGAATCAGCAAATCCAAAGCTCTGGTATTTTAGAAAAGGAGAGCCTCTGCCCATTATGTTTTTTTCTGGAGTCTTAGCTCTGGTGATGCTGTGGCAGCATGACCTTGTGTAAACTCTTCCACACTCAGGATTTTGGCTGTGACATTTGCCGGATGTTTTTCAGCTCTTTATCACCAGATTCTTCTGCTTTGCTGTGTGTGGGAGAATAGCGCCAACTTACCATGCGGCATTTCCATTTGATTATCCACAGATACAATCGACAAAACTTGCCTCAAGTGAGACTACCTGCTCCTTGAATATCTCCCCCTTGTCTCACTCCAAGACGAATCAGCTTTCTGATTTTCATTTAGTCAGAGTAATAAATAAATATTCGTTTAACCAAATGATCACAAAGGCCTCTGTGCCGATCCACATGCAGGCCCCTCTGCTCTATCCATCTTGGAAGCTGCTGTCAGATCATGGCATTCATCACCACAGTCCCTGCCTAACCCCATTTCTGTGGGATCAAATCCAGACGGCTCACCCCAGCACACAAGGCAAGCCTTTGGAAGACCAGCCCGCCCCATCTACTTTTCCGGTTTCATTTTCCAGTACAAATTCCTGGCTAGTCTGGCTGCACTCTCCACACACCTCCACACAGGCCTGAAATATCCCCTCTTGGAGACCTGCTCACTTGTTTCCCATCTGAAAGGCCCTTTCTTTTCCTCTCTGCTGTGTAAACCACACACACACTTCCACCTGGATCCAAGTCCCACTTGTCTTGACTGCTCCTGTGTTTGTCCCTTGACTGGGCTCCTGCAGGGCCTGTCATCTGTCTTGCTGTTCATCCTTTCCTTACATTTTCTGTGTTATCATCTCAGTTCTGCTGCGCAAGTTCCCAAAAAGGCAGGATTTCATACATTCCTAACTCTCCAGCACAGGGCTGGGTGCAGATTTTTGGATGAAAGTATAAACCTTTTCACTTAACCTGGTTCAGTACTTGAACTCATTCACTACATCATAAACGAACTGTCATCTGTATTAATTGCTTTCTTCAAATAAAATAATTGGTCAGAGGGGGGCCAGCCTCCCAGTACCACAGGTACTGATGCATTCAGGAAAATGTCTGCACATATTGGAGAGATGGGCTATTTGAAAACAGGAATAACAGAATTCTTCACAGTGCCAGGACCACAGCAGGTGAGCAATAACATATTTGTTAAATGAATGACATAAGATGTTTTGAGCTCAAATCTTTTGTGCATAAATATCTCATCGATGACACAAGTCACATGGCATACCTCTGTCCACTACCTCCCAAATAACTGGCTTTTGGTCACTCCCCAAATGCCCACCAGGAGGAACCTACATCAACCACTGTACCACACGTCTTGAGAGAGAAGAGGATGTTGACGTGGGTGCCGTTGGACACTCCTCGGCAGGAGGTGTTGGTCAGGAAGAGCTCCAGGCCACCAACCAGCTCCCTGGGGATGCTCATTTCAATGGCATTCGATTTGCACAACACAGGGACTGAAAAGAAACGGGGCCACTGTTAGAGCCAGGAAACCTGAATTGGGAGGAAGGCTTTAGGAGAAATAATTTCACCCTCACACAACTTGAGCTTTTTGTTCCATCCCCAAGGAAATCAGAGGGGCTGAAAACAAGTTGGTGAATAAAACCAGTATTCCTAACTCCCAAGATTATGGTCAAATAACGTTCCTCAAGTATGGTTCCCTGAATTAGGAAATACAAGGTTCAACTTTCAATCCAACAAACATTGGTTTCAAAGCGTAGCCAGCATAACTCTGTGAACTGAGACACTTAAGAAATTAACTTCAGCACAAACACAATTTATTGGCAATACAGAAAAAGTGCTGCTTTGATATAAGCCTACGGTACATAACGATGCTGCTGTGACTTTACCATTAATTATTGCCTCATAAAACAGAGACAATAAAAACAGTGCACTTGGGAAAGGCTTCCAAATTGTCTTTGCACTGCTCAGGAAACCATAAACTCTGACTATAAATTTCACCATTTTACCTTAATATAAAAAAGATTGCTTTTCCTTAGCATTTTCCAAGTTCTTCTCTAGACTCTGCAAATACCCTAAAGAGAATACTTGAGTACTGTCAGAGTCCAATACATGAAGACATATCATAACAATGGTATAGTGCAAAGAAATCAGAAATAGGTGCTCATTACATATTTATTGGATGAATGAATAAAAATTCTGGACATCAAAAACTAGATTTCCAGGCCAGGCATGGTGGTTTACAACTGTAACCTCAACACTTTGGGAGGCCAAAGAGGGCGGATCACTTAAGATCAGGAGTTTGAGACCAGCCTGGCCAACATGGTGAAACCCCATTTCTACTAAAAATACAAAAATTAGCCGGGCATGGTGGCACATGCCTGTAATCCCAGCTACTTGGGAGGCTGAGGCGGGAGAATCACTTGAACCTGGAAGGTGGAGGTTGCAGTGAGCCAAGATCATGCCACTGTATTCCAGCCTGGGCAACAGAGTGAGACTCTGTCTCAAAAAAACAAAAACAAAAAAAAACCCAAAATAAGTAGATTTCCAAAAAAATAATTCTCAGAGCATTATTAACCCTCCTATCCTAAGTGTGGGGAAAATAATATGTTCCACAGGGCTTTCAACTTAGTTCACTTATTTTCAACCCTGTTAGAAAAGAGAAGAGCTGCATTAATGTCTCATGCTTCCATAGTGAGTTATTAGTCATACAACTAACCATAGAAAGTAGTCAAAAATCAAAGGTAGACAGCAAAGGAAAGTTAGTTTTTTGGTAATCTTTTTTAGAGATCTTCTCTTTTAAATGATTCCAGAGTGATGATTCAGCGATGCACACTGCTCAAAGAGCCATGGTTCTGAAAGATAAGAACTCTGATATACTTGGGGGAGGAAGGCAAAGAGTTTTGGGGGAGGAAGAAGTGTAATCAAAGCGGAGTCAAGCTCCCCCCTCACCTCCCCTCACCCCATGTACTACCTTGGCAAGTGCAGTTATCCTCAGACAGCACCAGGCCGCGGGGACATTCGCACTGGTAGCCTCTCTCAGATCCAAGGCAAGAGTGGCTGCAGCCACCATTGTTATTGTGGCATCCTTCAATGTCTGTGGTAGAAACCAACAGAAAAGAAAATCATCTCGCAATCTTCAACCCCAAGGATTCTGGCACTTTGCATCAGGGATTATACTTAACTTATGACAGCATCCCTGGTGCCTAACCTAGTGACTGAGACATGCAGGCAAGACCTCAAAGAATGTTTATGAAATAGCATAGCTAAAAAGACTGATCTTCCAACATCCATAACTCTACCCAATTAAGCCGGTCAGGAATTTTGCAGAATGTCCTTCAGTTTGGATTTGTCTAATGCTTTTCTCATGGTTAGCCAAAAATCATTTCTTAATTGCTGTAACATTTAACCCACTCGATTTGACGTTTTATAGAGCATTATTGATGTAAAAGGGACTGACAGAATATAAATTGACCTGGACTGGCTGGATGGATCTGACTTATTGTGTGGACTGGCTGGGTCCTCAAATACCTGGCCCTCTCCTCAAATATCTAGGACACGAGCACTGGGGGTAAAGGGCTTTGGGCTGACAGCACACTATAAAAATGAGGCCTGGACAACATGGTGAGTGCACTCAACCAAATCCTGGTGACAATCCTTTCATGAGATGGTTTAGTTTAAGTTTCCTTTTTTAATGTTTTGCATGTTCAAAAAGCAAACTCAAGCCAAATGGACAAAAAGGAAAAATACTCCATTGAAAACTAAAGAATCTACAAGGTGATTTTGAATTTAACAGAAAAAAAATGACTTTTGTGGGACTTGGACATTCTCTTCTAGGTCAGAGGTTGTCAAACTCTAATCCACTACACATTATTATAAATAAAGTTTTATTGGCATATAGCCATGCACATTCATTTACCTATTGGCCACTTTCTCACTACAAGAACAGAGTTGAGTAGTTTCTACAGATTCTGTACGGTCCACAAAGCCTAAAGTATTTACCATCTGACCTTTGGAGAAAAGTTTGCTGACCCCTGTCCTAGGTTAAAATAATGAAAGGGAATGTTTTCAAATCATCTGAGATGCTCAGGGAAAGATAAGCTGATTTTCAGTTACAGCTATAACTCTCTCCGTTCAATAATAGTTTTTAAAAAGTAGTTATTTGGAACATCAATAAATTAACTTAGGATGAATTAGTTTTTGTGAAATGTATACAGAGAAAAATGTGGCAATGAATCACTCTTTGCAACACTTTAAAGAGATTAAGTATCACCAGTTTTCATATCTGCATATTCCTAAAGGATAAAAGCACACCTACAGGCTTTTGAAATGGCTGAAAATTATATATAATACTATAGAAGAAAGCACAAAAATATGCTATAAGATGTTAAAATGAACATTAATAGCACTTTTCCTTAAAAATTACCTTTCTTAAGTCATTTTATTTCTCTGAGTCACAATTTCAATATTTGTAAAATGAAGAGGTTGCACTAAAGGTTCACTTGGAATATTTCCAGGTCTAAAAATGCAAAGTACAAAATGAACTGAAAATTTAAATTAACTAAAAATATTTAAGTCTCTTAGGAAGAGAAACCAAAATGTTTAGAATGGATACATCTGGCAAATGGATTGTGGGTCATTTTAATTATTTTTCTCCTGCTCATCTTTATTTTCTTCTACACGTTTATGATAAAACAAAACAGGCTGGGTGCAGTAGCTCACACCTGTAATTCCAGCACTTTGTGGGGGCCAAGTCAGGTGGATTGCATGAGGTCAGGAGTTCAAAACCAGCCTGGACAACATGGTGAAATCCCGTCTCTACTAAAAATACCAAAGAAAAAAGAAAAAAAAAAGCTGGGCGTGGTTGAAGGCACCTGTAATCCCAGCTACTCAGGAGGTTGAAACAGGAGAATCACTTGACCTGGGAGGCAGAGGTTGCAGTGAGCCAAGATCGCCCCACCGCACTCTAGCTTGGGCAACAAAGTGAGACTCTGTCTCAAAAAAAAAAAAAAACAACTAATAATCATAAATTAAAAATAAGTAAAACAAAACAATAAAAATTACTTAAAAACTAACAAGAGCTGAATTAATGCAGGAACAGAAAAGTACTGCATGTTCTCACTTGTAAGTGGAAGCTAAACAATGGGTACACACAGACATAAAGATGAGACAAACATAAACTATATAAAAATAGACACCAGGAGCCTGGTACAGTGGCTCACGCCTGTAATCCCAGCACTTTGGGAAACCAAGGCAGACAGATTGCTTGAGTTCAGGAGTTTGAGACTAGCCTGGCCAATATGATGAAACCCTGTTTCTACAAAAATACAAAAATTAGCTGGGTGTGGTGGCACATGCCTGTATAGTCCCAGCTTCTCTAGAGGCTGAGGTGGGAGGATAACCTGAGCCCAGGGAGGCAGAGACTACAGTGGGCCAAGATGGCCTCACTGTACTCTAGCCTGGGTGACAGAGTGAGACCCTGTCTCAAAAAAAAAGAAAGACACTGGGAACTCCAAAAGCAGGAGAAGGGAGCAGGGTGAGGGGTCAAAAACTACCTATTGGGTACTGTCTTCACTGTTTGGGTGATGGGCTCAGTAGAAACCCAAGCCCCAGCGTTAAGCAGTACATGCATATAACAAACCTGTGCACGTACCCACTGAATCTAAAACAAAATTTAAAAGGGCTGTTGTTTTTTAAAAGAACATGTAATTATCAAATAGCTTACCTAAAGAAACATACATGTTTGGATTATCAGTAAAACTAAAGGGTTATAAACAGGAATATTAATCCTAAAGTATAACTCACTTAATTTTCATCTTCTGCTAAAATATTTTTTCAGTTATGGTTATTAGGTTTTAAGATTAACTGCAATCTTTCCAATGAAGTGCTCATAAATAATTATAAATGTTTTTATGGAACATTTTATTAACATTCAAATATGCAAAGATTATTACCTAAAATAATTAAGATTTAAGGAGGACTCTGGATATTACCTCTATTCAATAAAGTTTAAAATACATTTAGTCTTATTATGAGGAACAGTAATTTAACATTCTGGCTAATGGTCTCTCAGTTAATAATGCAAAGTTTGTTGCATGAAATAAAATGTGGGCACTAGCCATAATTTTTCCTTTTGGGGAAGTATTTTTATTTTATTTTATTATTATTGTTATTTTTTGAGACAGAGTTTTGCTCTTGTTGCCCAGGCTGGAGTGCAATGGCGCAATCTTGGTTCACTGTAACGTCCACCTCCCAGGTTCAAGCAATCCTCCTGCCTCAGCCTCCCGGGTAGTTGAGATTACAGGCACCTGCTACCATGTCTGGCTAATTTTTGTATTTTTTAGTAAAGACAGGGTTTCACCATGTTGGCCAGGCTGGTCACAAACTCCTGACTTCAAGTGATCCACCTGCCTCAGCCTCCTAAAGTGCTGGGATTACAGGCATGAGCCACCGTGCCTGGCCCAAGTGATGGAATTTTAGTAGTGACAATTTGCAAGGGTAAATGTGCCTTAAAGAAGGGATATTATCTAAGTTTCATATAATAATAGTGGGCAATTTCCATTTCAATTATTTGATATACATTATGAGTTCTTTTTTGTTATTAGTTATATAAAATGTATAAAGTCCTATAAAATGTCTGCTATAAAAATAGATCTAAAAGTAAAATAAAATAATTAAAATAGGTTTTTTATTTATTACCCCAAACTGTATTTATCTTCCATAAACACAAAGCATATAGGGAGGAGAGGAAATGGTTTCATGTAAACCAGTTTCTCAAACTTCCAAGATGATAAAAATCACCCATGGAACTTGTTAAAAACACAAGCCCCAAGTCCCCACTTTAGGTCCTCTGAAACAGAGGCTCCAGGAGAGGGCTGGGAGAAGCTAAGCGTAAAAGCCCCCAGGTGCTTCTCAGCAGCAGGGAAGTTTGGGAAACACAGCTGTTGGCCAGTGGTTATGCTACTGCCTCTATTACCTGGCCAGTCTAGGTGTGCTCCTTGGACCAGCAGTATAGGTAACTCCTAGAAGTTATTTCAAAATGTAATATCTTGACCTGATCTCAGACCTACTAAATCAGAATTTGCATTTTGACAAGATCCTAAGTGATTCGTAGGCACATATTAAAGTTTGAGAAATACCAAATATCCTCCCTCCTTTGTTTTTTTTTTTGAGATATTTTCTATCTGTTGCCCAGGCTGGAGTGCAGTAGTGCAATCATAGCTCACTGCAGCCTCAAACTCTTGGGCTTGAGTAATCCTTCCGCCTCAGCCTTCTGAGTAGGTGGCATTACAAGCATGCACCACCATGCCCAGCTACTTTTTATTTTTTAATTTTTTGTAGAGATAGTGTCTTACTATGCTACTCCCAAAGTGCTGTGGTTTCAGGCACCTGGCCAGAACACCCTATTTTTATTTCTCATTTAAAAATGTGGCTTTCTGCCTCTTGCAAAATTCCCTCCTGTTAAATCCTAGAGATAAAATCAGCACTGAATTCTGTCCACAGTGTGAGCATTCTCAATGTTGATGAACCCCTTATTTCATTTCTTTGCACAGCCAACTGTTACTCTCTTTGGGCTCTGAGACAGTTTCCTGAACATCAGAGAATAAGCCAGTGGCTTCCCTTGAGCTCTCGATTTGGGTCCCTTCTTGCCCATTCTCACCTTCACAAGTCTTGCCATCACTTCTTAGCACACGGCCAACCCCACACTCACAGCGGTAGGAGTTTTTGAGGTTCACACAGATCTCACTGCAGCCACCATTGTTTTGCTCACATTCATTTTCATCTGCAGAAAAGAAACCACACCATTTCCATATCGCTGAGCGACTCAGCCTTTTCCCAAGCCCCCAGACAGAATTTCCATATCTTTTCAGATCCTGTTGATGCACATTCCACCACCCAGTTCCCCTGTGATCCAGTATCATCACTTCCATCCACCTGATCTCCTGAACTATGTTATTGGTCCATCTGCCCTTTGCTGACTGGAAGGTACCTAATTGCTTGCCAATTCCCTTCTCTTCAGAGAAAAATTATGGGAAAATGAAGTTCCTTTTGTGTCCTGGGTACACCTACTTATTTGTATTGGTGAATTTCACTTTCTCCAATGAGTTCCTGAGAAGTTACTAAATAAATACAAGCTTACAAAGTAAATTGTTTTAAGTCATGAAAGGAGCTTACATTACAGAAGGAAATAGCTGATAAAATATTTTATGAGGCAATTTTCTTTTATAACATGAATAATTGACCTCAAAATCTGGTTTTTAAATTCGTATATTCTCACATTCTACTTAACCAATGATTGCTAATCTTTTTAAGAATCCGATGAAGGGTATGGACTCTTGCAGTAAAAAAATGCACAGTTGGCAGCAAATTCTATGCCTTTCTTTCTACAAACAAGGAAAAGGAAGCTTGGGAGCTAAATTTGTCATGGCCCTCGGGAATAACAGACCTAGATAGGACTGAGGTTTACACACCCATGCGGTGACAGGAGGCATGACCTCGGCCCCAGGAGAGGAGATAAGCTGTGACTGAAACCCTGCTTAAGTCTAGGACCCCAGAAAATGTATCCCCTCAATGAGACGGGGAGAAGAACTTTGCCCAGTGGCCCAGAGAAGCAATAAAGAAACTCTGCCCAGGGTTCTAGAAGAAAGAAAAGCCTTTACAAATAATGGAAGCCCCAAACCAGGGCTCTGCCATGGCTGAAGTAAGTTTTTTTTTTTTTTTTTTTGAGATGCAGTTTCACTCTTGTTGCCCAGGCTGGAGTGCAGTGGTGCAGTCTCAGCTCCCTGTAGCCTCCTCCTCCCAGGTTCAAGCAATTCTCCTGTCTCAGCCTCTCAAGTATCTGGGATTATAGGCGCCCACCGCTGTGCCTGGCTAAGTTTTGTGTTTTTAGTAGAGATGGGGTTTTACCATATTGGCCAGGCTGGCCTCAAACTCCTGACCTTGTGATCCACCTGCCTCGGTCTCCCAAAGTGCTGGGTTTACAGGAGTGAGCCACCACACCCGGCCTGAAGTATGGTTTTATCCTTCACACATGGTATGGGGAATCTTGAATGATGAAACATTTGGCCTGGTCTGATAAAGCATTTGTGATGCCAACAGAAGCATTTGAAAAACTGCTCTGTGTAAAACTTCCTCAAACTATGTGCTATGGTTTGGATATTTGACCTCTCCAAATCTCAGAGTGAGATTTTTTTTGAAACAGAGTCTCTCTTGCCCAGACTGGAAGGCAGTGGTGCAATATCAGCTCTCTGCAACCTCTGCCTCCCAGGTTCAGGAGATTGTCCTACCTCAGCCTTCCAAGTAGCTGGGATTACAGGCGTGTGCCACCATGCCTGGCTAATTTTTGTATTTTTAGTAGACAGGGTTTCACCATGTTGGCCAGGCTGGTCATGAACTCCTGCTTTCACATGATCCGCCTGCCTCAGCCTCCCAGAGTGCTGGGATTACATACGTGAGCCACCGTGCCCGGCCTCATATTGAGATTTGATCTCAGTGTTGGAGGTGACCCCTAATGGGAGGTGTTCAGGTCTTGGAGGCAGATCCCCTATGAATGGCTTGGTGCTATCTTTGCAGAAATGGGTGAGTTCTTGTTCCCAGTAGATTAGTTTCAGTATGTTTAAAAGGAGGCTGCCACCTCCCCCTTCTCACTTTTACTTCCTTTCTTGCCATGAGATGCACATGCCAGCACCCTTCACCTTCCTCCATGAGTGGAAGCAGCATGAGGCCCTTACCAGATGCTCATTCTCCCAGCCAGCAGCATCATAAACCAAATAAACCAATTTTCTTTATAAATTACCCAGACTCGGGTATTCCTTTACGGCAACACTAAACAGACAAGGATACCAGATGACAAGAGTGGCATCCTACAGAAAAACAACCACAACAGAAGATGGTTTGCCACAAGACACTTATATGAGGAATGATCCATTGTGAGAGAGTGTTGGCATGGTAACTGGAGGCTCTGAACTGGAAATAACAGAATTGTCCAGAAAAATCTATAATACAAGTATTTAAAGAATTAGTAAAAAGATAAAAGAAAGGATAATAACCAAAATCAGTGTGTAAAAAGACAAGGAAGAACTGAAAACACACAAAAACAAACACATAGAACTTGTAGAAATGCAAAATGTAGTTGATAATATTAAGAACCTTTATCAGGGCCCCTTCTTTCCCTTTCCTCATTATACCGCCTGGAAAGTAGATGGTTAGAGGCTGACAGCCTTCCTGAATGTGGACATGGTGACACCTATGCTTGGGTGGGTCCCTTAGAAGCCTCCATTCCAAGCCTGGACTGATTATCTTGGACTGATTTTTTTTTTTAATATGAGAGAGAAATAAACTTTTACTTATTTAAGCCATAATTATTTGGGGGTTTATTGTTATAGCCAATGAAGATAGATACTCTATGCCTCAGCAGTTCCATTCTTATGGGTACCTGCTAGAGAAAATCTCACACAGTTGGTAAGGTATAATTTTTATGTTAATTCTAAGAACACACAAAACAATGCTATCTATTGTTATAGGTACATACACAAATAATAAAAGCATATAAATGGGACCAGAAGATCATATCTTAACTTTAAAACAATGATCACCTCTGGAGGGTGAGAGATGAAAGCAGGCTGGAATGGGATGGCTTTACTTGTATCTACAAAATTTTATTTAAAAGAAAAAGGGCTGGGTGTGGTGGCTCATGCCTATAATCCCAGCACTTTGGGAGGCTGAGGCAAGTGGATCACCTGAGTTTAGGAGTTCAAGACCAGCCTGGCCAACGTGGTGAAATGCTGTCTCTACCAAAAATACAAAAAATTAGCTGGGCCTGGTGGCATACACCTGTAATCACAGCTACTCGGGAGGCTGAGGCAAGAGAATCACTTGAACCCAGGAGGTGGAGGTTGCAGTGAGCTGAGATTGCGCCATCGCACTCCAGCCTGGGCAACAAGAGTGAAACTCCATCTCAAAAAACCCCAAATAACCAAAAAACAAACAAACAAACAAAAGGAAACAAACGTGAACTATAGTTAAATATAGGTATATAAGTTTCTGTTATATTATTTTGTTGTACGCTGGCTGAAAAAATTATATAGTTTAAAACAAATCATTAAAATTATTATGTTTAAATAAAAGCTAAAGGAAAATTGACACATGCTCACAAACACAAAACTCTGTCTACAGTTTCAGAGGATTCACAATCTCCCTAAAATCCCACAGACCCCACATAGGAACTTGGGGCTTTGATGGACAAACATGTCTAATATAAATTAAGGAAGAAATGTGTATGATATGCTACATTTGATGTTTAAAATTCACCAATAAGTAAACATATTGATATGATTTGGCTGTGTCTCCATCCAAATCTCACCTTGAATTGTAATAATCTCCATGTGTCAAGGGTGGGGCCAGGTGGAGATAACTGAATCCTGGGCATAGTTTCCTCCATACTGTTCTCATGGTAGTGAGTAAGTCTCATGAGATCCGATGGTTTTATAAATGGGAGCTCCCCTGAACAAGCTCTCTTGCCTGCCACCATGTAAGAAGTGACTTTACTCCTCATTCACCTTCTGCCATGATTGTGAGGCCTCCCTAGCTATGTGGAACTGTGAGTCAATTAAACCTCTTTATTTTATAAATTTCCTTTATAAATCCAGGCTTTTATATGTCTTTATTAGCAGCATGAGAACAGGCTAATATATATATGTGTATTCATTTTTAAATCTGCCTGTAGAAACCCTGGAAGCAGCACACATAAGAAAATAATATAACTGCTTCCTTGGGATGGAGCTGGGGAAGAGGGAAATGGGGCAAGAGGGTGACTGAGAGCTGGACAGTTTGCTGTATACCTTTTTATGTTGTTTAATTTGGGAACCACTTCAATGTATTACCTATTTAAAAGTTGCATTAAAACAAAAGCAAAGAAATGAATGAACAAAAAAAAAAGCCAAATATTTTTGAACAGAAATATATGAGGGTAGGAGACTTCAGGAACCACTATCACCCCTACCCCAAGTCATTTAGCATTAAATCACATACTCAGAATCAACCACACGAGATCCCCAACAACTCCTATGGCAAGGCCTAAACATGCTCCACAGGATGGTCAGTGGGGTTCATTTAGGAGCTTTATTGATTGATTGATTGATTGATTTTTTTAAGAGACAGGGTCTTGCTCTTTCACTCAGGCTGGAGCACAGTGAAGCAATCAGAGCTCACTGCAGTCTTAAATTCCTGGGCTTAAGAAATCCTCCCACCTCAGCTGAGACTACAGCTACTGCCACCACACCTGGCTAATTTATTTTTATTTTATAGAGGTGGAGTCTCACTCTGTTGCCCAAGCTAGTCTCAAACTCCTGGCCTCAAGCAGTCCTCTTGCTTTGTCTTCCCAAAGCACTGGGATTACAGGCATGAGTCACACTGCCTGGCTCACTTAAGAGATTGAAGAGAAAAAGCTTTTCTAAAACAAGAAGCCACTTGGGCCCAGGATGTCAAAACCTCAGTGAGCTGAGATCACACCACTGCACTCCAGCCTGGGCAACAGAGTGTGACCCTGTCTCAAAAACAAACAAACAAATAAACAAAAACCAATAAGCTTTTTATGCTCTTTTGACCTTAATCTCCTACTTCAATCCTGACCTGTTACTGTTCTTCTTGCCGGGACTAGGGTAGGGCAATCTTCCCCTTTCAGTCTAGATTTGTTTTAAATCTATTTGAGTCTGAATCCAAAAAGGTTCAAAACCTTAAAGAGAAAGAGAGATGATCTTTAATCTTGAGATTTTCATCTCTGTTCTCTTCTAGTTATAGACAGCATAATACACAATTCAACAACTCTGGATTTCCTATAGACAATCTCACTCACATTTCTTGCTACTCAGAACAACCAAAATTGTAATAGCGAAGCTAAAGGAGTAAGTCCTTAGATTATTCTAGACCAGTGCTGCCCAACAGAAATATAAAGCAAGTTATATATTTAATTTAAAATCTTTAAGTAGTCACATTAAAATTAAAAAAAAAGAAAATTAATTTTAATAATATATTTTATATAACCCAATTATATGCAAAATATTTTCACTTTGATAGATAACCAGTATTAAACATACTATTTTTAGAGACAGTCTTGCTTTGTCACCCAGGCTAGAGAGCAGTGGTATAACCATACCTCATTGTAACCTTGAACTCCCAGGCTCAAGTGATCCTCCCACCCCAGCCTCCTGGGGAACTGGGACTATGGGTACACGCCATCATACCCAGATAATTTTCATATATTTTTGTAGAGATGAAGTCTTTCTTTGTTTCCCAGGCTGGTCTCGAACTCCTAGGCTCAAACCATCTGTCTGCCTCAGCCTCCCAAAGTGCTGGGATTACAGACATGAGCCACCGCGCCTGGCCAAACATCAGTTTTAAAATTCAAATCAAATGAAATTAAAATTCAGTTTTTCAGTCACACTAGCCACATTTCAAGTGCTCCATGGCCACCTGTAGCAACTCTAGTGGAGGGTACAATTCTCCACTGTCCCTAATCATGATACAAATTTGGCATGGGGCTTTCAGTCTAGGCATAAACTAAAAAGCAAACACCATTCCAAGTGTTTGGAGACACAAACTGGGAAAAAGATGGTGCTCTGAGGCGGAAAGAGTTTTTGATTTGTCCTTTCGATCCTAATAGCCTGCTACCTTATGATGAGTTTCTTACCAAAGCATGTCTGCCTGTCAGGACCTAGCACGGTTCCTGGAGCGCAGGTGCACTCACTGGTATCTGAGCAGCTGTCATGGCAGTCCTCGTCGCAGATGTCATAAAAATCTATGGAAGGATAAAGATTATCTTTCATGAGAGGAGGAAACCAGAGGACACTCTCTTTTTCATTCTTTTTAGAGATAGGGGGATGGTGTCCCTATGTTGCCCAGGCTGGCATTGAACTCCTGGGCACAAGCAATCCTCCCACCTTGGCCTTCCACGTAACTGGCACTATAGGCATGAGCCACTACATCCAGCTGACCCTCTCCTTCTTGAGAGAGTCTCATAAGTGCAGCCTGGGGGATGAGTTTCCAGCCACCATCAAGGAAATTCTCATTGTTCAGGGTTTATATAACCCAATGGAAAACAAAAAACTAGGGCATCTTTTGTCATCTAGATCAGTGATTCCCAACTTCAGATCCATAGGCCCATGAGTGGTCATAGAGTTTCTGCAAATCTAAAACCTCACCGTATATGAGCTATAGACTAGGAAAGTGTTATGTCCTACTCTTCCAGTGCTCTATTTTTAAAATGCATACAGACATTGATGGGATTAATAACACAGAAATTAAAAGTAAGGCCGGGCGCAGTGGCTCAAGCCTGTAATCCCAGCACTTTGGGAGGCCGAGGCGGGTGGATCATGAGGTCAAGAGATCGAGACCATCCTGGTCGACATGGTGAAACCCCGTCTCTATTAAAAATACAAAAAATTAGCTGGGCATGGTGGCGCGTGCCTGTAATCCCAGCTACTCAGGAGGCTGAGGCAGGAGAATTGCCTGAACCCAGGAGGTGGAGGTTGCAGTGAGCCGAGATCGCGCCATTGCACTCCAGCCTGGGTAACAAGAGGGAAACTCCACCTCAAAAAAAAAAAAAAAGTATTACTGACATAAAGTGCTTCTTCCCATTATGTATCATTAAAAAATCAGTGGACACTAAACACAATCCAACCATATGGATGTCTGATTACCTATCTATTAATCAAAATAGAGATCTTAAAAAGGTGTTCTCCATACTCAAAAAAAGCTGGAAATCCACTATTTAGAGAACCTAAATCAATGTTTCATTTTCTAATGTTTTGTTTGAATGGAATTCAGACAAAATTAAAAAGAACTGATCAAAGTCATAGCTTCTTTCTCCTTCTATTTATTCAGGAATTTTTCAGAAGTTCTAAGAACTTCTGAGATAGCAGAAATCACAATCTAGAGGTATCTTTGGCCCCACATCAATGTTGTTCAGACTGAGATATAGTGTCACTGTAACTGCATTTCCTATAAATGGTACTTTTTGACTCCACCCGTGGTCTTGTTGGTGGAGACTAAGAGCACAGGGAAGGTACTCACGACCACAGTAGACATGGAAGCAGACACTGGGCTTGGTCAGACGATACACATAGTAGCCTCCAGGGCAAGACTTGACCTCCACCGTGGTATTCCAGAGGCAGCAGTTCCCATTGAAGCTGGCACAAGCCTGGCGTTGCACAATGCCATCACCTTCTAGGGGGTGGCTGCCATTGAGCCAGACAGGTGCGTGGGTTCCACAGTGGTTTTCTGGTATGCAGAAGGTGGGCATGGCATCTCCTGCCATACCCGTGAAGCGGTACCACTCCCCATCCACATGGTTGTCACACAGAGGAGAACCTTGAGACTCATCCAATTGGTGGTCAGTGTTCCTCCAGGGCTCATTCAGGCTGATGTAAGCGAAACACGGATCTAGGGCTGGAAATGTAAAAGATATCTCAAAGTACCTGGAGTGTTTCAAATCACAGCACCAACAGCCCAAGTCCACCTTCTTGGTCTTGCATTTGAACATTTTTGAATTCAAGAGACAAATTAGTTAAGGTCCCAAAAAATAGCTATTTAAGGTTCCTCAAGTTGATTTAAACATGTTGCATAAATGCCTATTTCAAAATCATTTCAAACCTAAAGTTTAGTGTTCGCATTGAATTAAATTTTTATCCAGAGTAATTATTTGATAGAAGGATAGTTATTCAGAGCAAGGGAGGTTAGGATTAAAGACTCACTGAACGAGTCAGACCATACTCTGAGTATTTCATTCATAACTGGAGATTGTATTATTATTGTTACTGTTTGTTTTTGAGATAGGGTCTGGCTCTGTCATTGCGGCTGAAGTGCAGTGGTATAATCATGGCTTACTGCAACCTCTGCCTCCTGGGCTCAAGTGATCCTCCCCACTCAGCCTCTGAAGTAGCTGGGACACAGTCCCATGCTACCACACCTGGCTAATTTTCTTTTTCTTTTTTTTTGGTAGAGAGAGGGTTTTGCCATCTTGCCCAGGCTGGTCCTGATCTCCTGGGCTCAAGTGATCCTCCTGCCTCAGCCTCCCAAAATGCTGGGATTACAGGCATGAACCCAGTTCTCAGCCAGAGGCTGTATTTTATAAAAGTAGTTGACAAACTTGTTCAGAGAAAGTTGACTTAGAAAGGGTCCTAAAAATTATTTACTGGAGAAGTTGAGAATTATGGTTTGGGAAAAAGGAGACTGAAGAAAATGCATATTGGTTTTAATCTGAAATAGGCTTGTGGAAGAGAAATTAGCTATTCTGTTACAAGAACAAGAACAAATAGTGGGAAAGCACATTTCAGTTCAGTTATCCAGTCAAAGGAGAGGCTGTGTCATAGTGCAGTTAGCTTCCAATCCTTGGAAATTTTCAAAAAAGTATTCGGCTGGCCATTTGTAAAGAAGATTATAGGTGAAATTTTGCATTATTAGAAAGTTTGACGTGATAAGGAATGTGTAAAGCTCATTCCCCTGAAGAGGAAAAGACCTCAGGCATGTGCTACCTACTTTGAAATACACAGTATAATAGCATGTAGTTACTGGGAATATTCTCAAAGTAAATTCTAGTATATATTCTACCAGCTTATTGAAAATATCAAGAATCCTGCGTATTCACAGTTAACCATGGCATTATGATCCTAGCTGTTATACAGCAAAGTTTTTCAGACATATATTTTTAGTGCATAAATTACAAGGACAAATATCTCATCCAAAACATTTCATTGCATGTCGTGAAGACTTTGAAAAATAACATTCTGGTCAGGCAGGGTGGCTCATGCCTATAATCCCAACACTTTGGGAGGCCGAGGCAGGTAGATCATCTGAGGTCAGGAGCTCAAGACCAGCCTGGTCAACATGGTGAAGCCCATCTCTACTAAAAATACAAAAATTAGCCAGGTATGGTGGCACGTGCCTGTAATCTCAGCTACTTGGGAGGCTGAGGCAGGAGAATCACTCGAACTCGGGAGGTTGGAGGTTGCAGTGAGCCGAGACCATGCCATTGTACTCCAGCCTGGGCAATAAGAGTGAAACTCTATCTCAAATAGATAGATAGATAGATAGATAGATAGATAGATAGATAGATAGATAGAAAAACAACATTTTAATGACTAAAGACACAAATATCTCCAATATTCTCATTGCTTCCCTTAACTCCAGGGAAACTAATCAATGAATTAATGTAGGTAAATTGTCCTTAGAAGAATCTATGAAACTAAGAAATTCTAGAAAGGAGCATTGGCCAGAGAGTACTATATTATCGTTCTTAATGTACAGAGGTTGACTTACGTAACTGATACCATAGGCAAGGAATTCACATTAGGGCCAATACATTTTGTGGGCAGGGAATTCCGTATTAGCAAATAGTACACAACAATTAAATATGAATGGGCCATGATCACTAAATCTAACTTGTCTAGAAAATATCTTAGATTTTTTAAATCTACACTATCCACATTTCAAAGTTAAGTTTACTCTCTAAACTTCAGTCACATGTAGAGAAAGGTGTGGCCCATTGCTCATGGCCCCCAAGAAAATATGGCAATTTGAGACAAGAAAAAAGTGGGATATTGTATTTTCTGGAAAGCAACTTGCTTTCTTTAAAATGTCCCTTACATATCTCAGCTGAGCCCTGCATCACAAGCCTTTAAGGGCAAGAAATATCCTCAGATTCTCTCTCCCCTCAAAAGGGACACATTTCTTCCTCTGCTCTCCCAGCTGTGGCTTTTTCTTATAAGCAAGGTTTCCAGAGCAATTTCACAGGTGATTATAGAATCACAGAAATATTTGGTTCCTCTCCCTGTCTCTAATTTTATAAGAAATGGTTAGATACTCAACTTTTAATGGCTTCTGCAGAAACTCCTAAACCTCTCTCAGTAACTATTTCCTGATTTATAAAGTTTTTCCTTCAAGTTAAATGTCATTTCTTGGGCTGTTTACTAAAAGTTCACTTCCTTCCCTGCTGTAGAGGAGAGAGGGCATGAGGAGGAGAAATTTATCTACCATCTTCTGTAACCTAACTAAATAATACATATATGTTAAAAGTTAACCATCCAATACTTTCTGACATTAAATGTACCCATCCCATTGTACCCTCTTTGAAGGCAGCAATCTAATCTAAGCCTGGACCCTGGTCTTATATCCTGTTTCCAATCTCGGTGTGAAGCACAGAATCTGGTATTGTGCACATTCATCCTAAACTGCTGATGTATACTTCTCAATGGTATGGCTTCAAAAAGAATAGCCCTGTGGGTTCCTTCCTGGCCTACCAGAAGCTCCTCAACGGTTTGCTAACAGGCCTGCTTGCCAGCTGTCCCTCTGGCTTCTTCCACCAGGACCACGCAGGGCCAAGGGCAGAGAACTGATGTCTGCATCCCCACCCTTTCGCCCCAAGGTTGCGTCCTCCAACCCTCCAGGTCCTACAGAGAGCCACCCCTGAATCTCAGCCCCCTGGAACCCTGTGCCTGAGCTTGATTGGGAAGCACCCCCCCTTTCCTGCTCCCTACTTTTTCATCCTCCTCCCTCATCACCCTACTTTGCTTCTCTCCGTTTTCTGTCTTCTCTCACTTCCCCTCTCCTCCCAGGGCAAGCACCAACCCCAGACCCTAAAATTCCCTGTTTATCTTGCTTCTGTCATTGAGCCAAATACCATCCTTGACGTGCTGTGTGCTGGGGGTTGGAAAGAAAAGTCTGGGAAGGGTGAGGGTAATGGAAAGAATGGGGAATACAGGAGGTACTACAGGGAGAATAGGTAAGGAGAAGGGTAGAAAGAAAGGGGAGTGGAGATTTTTGGGAGGACAACTTTCTGAGTGACCCTTGGGTTACTGGCAGCAGATATGAGGTGATTAATGACGGGTTAGCTCAAGCATATTTTTTGAACAGTTTCGGATTTACAGCATAGTTGATATGATAGACAAAGAGATGCCATATATGCCACACCCAGCTTCCCTTGTTATGACACATTACCTTTAGCCATACATTAGCATGGTACCTTTGCTGCATTAATGAACCACTGCTGATACCTTATTATTAACTCATGTTCACATTTATTCAGAATTGCTTAGTTTCTACCTATATCTTTCTGTTGCAGGATCCCATGCAGGATCCCACATTACATTTAGGTGTCAGGTCTCCTTAGGGTCTCAAGTCATTTTTTTTTTTTTTTTTTTGAGACGGAGTCTCCCTCTGTTGCCCAGGCTGGAGTGCAGTGGTGCGATCTCGGCTCACGGCAACGTCCACATTCTGGGTTCAAGTGATTCACCCCGCTCAGCCTCCCAAGTAGCTGGAATTACAGGCATGTAACACCTTGCCCAGATAATTTTTTTGGTTTGGTATTTTTAATAGAGATGGGGTTTCACCATGTTGGCCAGGCTGGTCTCGAACTCCTGACCTTAGGTGATCCACCAGCCTTGACCTTCCAAAGTGCTGGGGTTATAGGTATGAGCCACTGCGTTTAGCCCCAAGCCTAATTTTAATGTGTATCCTTTAAGGTGCTAGAGCAAGGCCCAAGTTACCATGAAAAAATAAACCAGGGTCAACTAAATACCGAGCTACTCAAAAGTGTCAAGAAGGATGGTTCTCTCCATCTCACCTCCCACCTGTTCTTCCAGTTACCACTTATATTCTACTAGAAAAAGAGGCAAGAGAGAAATCTGTTAGTAACTGGAATTGAAACTTTCCTTTGCCTGGTTAGCCATTTTTGCATCAAGCCTGAGGACGGAGACAATTTAGGGTTCACTAAATCTGTGCAAAAAGTCTTATTTTCTGATATAAAGACTAACGAGTTTGGTTTATCCAGATCTGTACCCCTCATGGCAACAGACCTTTCAGTCCCTTGCCTTCATTAAAGAAAAACTCTACACTCAACTTAAAAAAATTTTTTTTTCTCTTCAAGTTGGAACTATAAAAGTGCCTAGAACACAAAGAAGTTAGAATTCTTTTTATACATACTCCAGGAAATATTTAGCTAGTGGAAAACAGTGGGATATGGCAGATCCATGGAAATTTTGGATGTCCAGGCAAGAGGCTAAATGGAAGCTGTAACAGAAAATCTCTGGAAATCTATTTTCAAGGGTTACCAGGGACTTTTCTTACACAATTCTAGAGCTAGCATTTAAGGTACTGTAATCTAGTTCTTAATCATCTGTACATCATAACAAATTGCCACAACAAAAAGTGCATTGTCCCAAGTTCTTGACATGACACTCACCCACGGGCGACATGGAGGTGCCTGTGATGAAGAGACAGATGAGAAACAGGAACGGCGTCATCCTTCTGGACCAACCGCCAGAAACACACTGGAAAATCCTCTTAATACTGGTGTTCCTTTGTCCCCTTCTCCTTCAAGCACTTTTTTTTTAAAGGCCTCTAGGCTCTCATGAGAAAGACTTTATCAGCGCTGGTAGGGGTGTTATCAGAGGAAGAGGATGAGGATGAGTGGGATAAGGTGTCCACAGCTCTGGCCTTGGCCCCAGAGAGAAGCACTGCTTTACACTGTCAACAGGGTTCCTTTATTGATAGTTTTCTTTAGGGAAAAAAAAAAACCCTCAAAATCCCTCATCCTCCTATTGTTTTCTCTCTAAAATTCCCTGCAATGAAACCTCCAGTATCTTATCCTGAAGGGAACTCTAAATGAAGGACATCCCTTCACATCAAATTCTTGCTTTGTGACTTCTTGGAATTGATTTCACAATGTTGCAGCCATAGCATTGCACACTAAATGAGAATGGATAAAGCCAAATAGCTGAAACTGTCCAGGTCAGATGGTCGAGGAGCTTACAACAGCACACAAAACAAAGTAGTAAGGACAGGTATGGGACAGGGAGAGTATTCTCTTGAAATAAGCTCCTGAGTTTGTTTTATTATGGTCTTTGGCCCAAAACTCCTGCAAGAAACAAGGTTTAACAAGAAACAAGGTTTTCGCCCTTTCATTTTTTATTTTTATTTATTTGTTTATTTATTTTGAGACAGAGTCTTGCTCTGTCACCCTGACTGGAGTGCAGGGGCGTGATCTCACTACAACATCTGCCTCCCGGGTGTTTACCAAATCAAGTAGCAATACCTCATGTTTTCATCCTGTTTTTGCCCCCAAAATTAAAAAATGGTTTAATGTGATTTATTTCACTAATTCTCACATTAAGATGGGGTAGAAACTTAGAATTAGAAACTACTCATTAACACTCTGGAAAATTAAATGTCAACATTTACTAAAGTTTTACTTTTAGACAAAGGAGGGGACATGTAGGGACCGGTATATTACATGTCACCGACACAGCCTTAGGAATTAGAGATTTCGAGTTTGCTAGCTCCCTGACATTCTGCAGTGTTGTGGACTCCCGAGAATTAGCAAGAACTATCATTGAAGATAATGTAAAGGGAAAGGATAAAAAGAGGGGTAGGGAAAAGTTGCTCTTTAAAAAAAAATACTGTGTTAAACAAGGGTCTGAGGGAAACCACAATTTTTCTATTCCAATCTTACTTGATGCTTTGAGCTTCTATTATTCCTGCGCTTGCTTTTATCTGTGTAACTTTTCCCAATAACCACAATTCTAGTGACTGGAAAAGGAATAGTATCTTTGGGAAGTCATCTTAAACTTGTTTCCATAATCTGTTAGCACAATTTTTTTTCAGAGGTGGGGTCTTGCTATGTTGCCCAGGCTGGAGTGCAACGGCTATTCATATGCACTCCGTAGCACACTGAAGCCTTGAACTCCTTGGCTCCATGAATCCTCCTCCCTCAGCCTCCCCAGCAGCTGAGACTACAGGGGCACCATGAGCCCGGCTTCTTAGCACAATTTATAAACCAAATTCAGTGACTTTCAAATGACCATGGCCCCTTTCCTCTAAGGATGTCTGTTCAATTAAACATCAGTGCTTACTGGGGCCAGGTGCCATGCTAATCACTTGTTTTTGACAATGGCAAAGGTACAAATGGTCCCCAGAAGCTCAGGGTTTATGGTCAAGCAAGGGGTTTCCACTGATCTAAAATTGTAGCTAGCTGCTTTATTACTAACATTAGTGGGACACAGGCAATTTGACCATTAGCTTGGTAAGTTGTGGTTTGATGGCAGCAATGGATGACTCTGCCATCTCACTGCAGGGTAGTGCTGCTAAGAATCAGTGCTTTAAACAGAAAAACCCCAACTTCCTGTCCTTAGGAAGCTGTTTGAGGGCTTCATATGTATTGCAGAGAAACAGAGGACGTGTGCATGAGATAAACTCAGACTTGTTGCCAGGATTGATTGCTGGAGTCAAGGACTTTCACCAGATAGCCTTTGGTTCTGTAAACAAAAATTCCCAGGATGGTAAGATTTTTTTTTCTCCCTTATTTTTATTTTTTCCTTTTTAGTTGAACTGCCCTTTCATTTTTTACTTTTTTTTTTTTTGAGACAAGAGTCTTGCTAGGCTGGAGTGCCATGGCGTGATCTTGGCTCACTGCAACCTCTGCCTCCCAGGTTCAAGCCATTCTCCTGCCTCAGCCTCTTGAGTAGCTGGGATTACAAGGACGTACCACCACACCCAGCTATATTTTATATTTTTAGTAGAGACGGAGTTTCACCATGTTGGTGAGGCTGGTCTTGAACTCCTGACCTTGTGATTCACCCGCCTTGGCCTCCCAAAGTGCTGGATTACAGGCATAAGCCACCACATCCAGCCTCATTTTTTACTTTTTATGAAGAAAAATTTCAAATATATAAAGAACAATAATGAACAGCTAGTTATGATTACTAACATTTTTTCATTCTCATCTCATTTACATACCAGTATGCATTTCTAACATAGTCTTTTTTTTTACATAATCATGATGCTTTTATTACAACTATGAAAATCAGTAATAATTCCTTACTTCATACCTAGTCCATATTTAAATTTCTCAATAGTTCCAAATATTCCTTTTTATTGCTGGATTGAGTGAGGATTCAAACAAGATTTATATGTTGCCTTTTAGTTGTCACTTAAATTTATTTTTGTTGGCCGAACGCAGTGGCTCATGCCTGTAATCCCAGCACTTTGGGAGGCTGAGGTGGCTGGATCACCTGAGGTCAGGAGTTTGAGACCAGCATGACCAACATGGCGAAACCCTGTCTCTACTCAAAATACAAAACTATCTGGATGTGGTGATGCAGGCCTGTAATCTCAGCTACTTGGGAGGCTGAGGCAGGAGAATCGCTTGAACCTGAGAGGTGGAGGTTGCAGTGAGCCAAGATTACACCACTGGACTCCAGCCTGGGCAACAGAGGGAGACTCTGTCTCAAAACAAAAAATTATCCACCATGGTTTTCCCTCCTTCCTTCCATTTGTTGAAGAAACCCCATCATTTGTCCTATAGAATGTTCCATATTTTGGGTTTGGTGAATTGCTTCTTTGCGGTGTCTTGTAGTCTCTCCTCCCCCATATTTAATGATAATGCTTGTTCATACATTATATTTTTTTCTATATTACGTGCTATTAGAATTTAAAAACAAAAATATTCTGGTGACACTGAGGGAATTTTATGTACAGAAGGCAATGTTAGAAACAGACCAGTTAGCAAGAGGATAAATCAGTCTAGGATACATCTGAGCAACAGTAACAATTTGAGAGCTACCATCATATAAATGGTAACAAATAGGGGAGACAGGTGAGATTACACCCATGGAAAATGGGGTCCAAGATGGAACCTTGGGGAAGCTTAACATTAAAGATGTGGGCAGAGGAATGGGATGCTGTAAAAGAGACCAGGAAGTAGTCAGAGATTTATGAAAGGAAACCCGAGGGTGAAGTCACAGGAGCTGATGTTCACAGAAGAGGGGTTGCCCAGTGTATGTTGCATTTATAAAACATACATAAACATTTATAAAGTAGGCAATTTTTTTTTTTTTTGAGACAGGGTCTCACTCTGTCATACAGGGTGGCGTGCAGTGGTGTGATTTCAGCTCACTGCAGTCTCTGCCTTCAGGGTTCAAGCAATTCTCCTGCCTCAGCCACCTAAATAGCTGGGATTACAGGTGTGCGCCACCATGCCTGGCTAATTTTTATATTTTTAGTAGAGATGGGGTTTGCCATGTTGCCCAGACTGGTCGCAAACTCCTGAATTCAAACTATCCACCCACCATGGCCTCTCAGAGTGCTGGGATTACAGGCAAAGTAGGTAATCTTATATTCAGTAGGATTCATTAAAAATAACTTAGACATTTATCCTAAGGAAATATCACAAGAGCCCAAGGGAGATGAGTAGTTAGGACTTATTTGGGAGAGCAACAAAGGTTGGCAGTGATAAATCTCAATTAAAACTCTGAAGAGTTCTGGTGAAACTGAGCTCTAAAATCTAAGTCCCATTTTTCTGTGAAATCTTTCCAGATAGATTTTAAAAGTCAACCTATTTGTATTTGTTTTGAAAACATCTACCACGTGCTTACTGCTGCACCCTGACAAGCAGGATACCACATTAGCATTAACAAGACCTCTGGTTTTATCTTTTCTACTCACCACAGTCACCATGCTCAGCAGTCCTCCAGTCACTCAGTCTGGTATTTGACCATAGGATGCACTGAGGAGTTGTGACATAGACGCCATCTCTGTTCCTCAGTTCCTTTCTCTTTAAAGCAATGGTTAGATTAGATCAAGGGTTCTCATCAGAATCACCAGGAGGGCTTGTTGAACACAGATTTCTGGCTCCACTCCTAGTTTCTGATCCAAAAGGGACCAGAGAACTTGCATTTCTAACAGCTGCAGGAGATGACATGCTGCTGCTCTGGGGACCATGTTCTGAGAACCTTTTACTTTCTCCACCTCTAAAGCCTATGCTCCCTTAGCAAAACTGCATTACTTAACGCTCGGTAATAGCTTTAATGTTGTCACTATGTGCCTTTAATCCACTACTTTTTTTCCCTCTATTTTGGTAAAATATACATAAAATCTATCATTTAAACCACTTAAGTGTACATACAGTTCAGTGGTATTAGGTACATTCACATTGTTGGGCAACCATCACCACCACCCACCTCCAGATCTCTGTCATTTCCCAAACTGAAACTCTATGCATTAAACAATAACTCCCTCATCTGTGGCAGCCATTATTCAACTTGGTATTTCTATGAATCTGACTACTGTAAATACTTCATATAAGTGGAATCATATAGTTATTGTCCTTTTGGGACTAGCATGGTTCATTTAGCATGTGTCTTGAAGGCTCATCCCTTTTATGGCATGTGACCAAATTCCATTCTTGTATGGCTGAATCCTCGGTTGTGTGAACACACCGTATTTTGTTTATCCATCCATTTGTTGGCGGACATCAGGTTGCTCCTACCATTTGGTTATGGTGAATGCTGCTGCTGTGAACATGTATGTGTGTATACATGTCTGTTTGTCTCAACTTTCAATTCTTTTGGATATATACCCAGAAGTGGAATTGCTGGATCATACGGTTGTTTCACTATCTGAGGAGCCACCGTACTGCTTTCCACAGGAGATGCACCATTTTACATTCCTGCCAGCAATGCCTAGGGTTCCAATTTCTCTACTTCCTCACCAACATATTTCATTTTCTGCTTTTTCTGATAATAGTTACCCTAATGGGTGTGAAGTGGTATTTCGTGATAGTTTTACCTTTCCTTAGTTATTAGTGATGTTGAGCATCTTTTTGTGTTTATTGGGCATATGTGTATCTTCTTTGGAGAATTGTCCAACTCCTCTGTCCATTTTTTAGTTTTTGTTAGGTTCACTATATTTTAAAGTAAGCTTGTCCTACCCATGGTTCGCAGGCCGCGTGCAGCACAACACAAATTTGTTTTTTTTTCTTTTCTCCATTTTTTTTTCAAACTCATAAACTTTCTTAAAACATTTGAGGTTTTGTGTGTTTTGCTTTAGCTCGTCTGCTATCATTAGTGTTAGTGTATTTTATGTGTGGCCCAAGACAATTCTTTTTCTTCCAGTATGGCCCAGGGAGGTCAGAAGATTGGATACTCCTGCTTTAAACTTCAAATTGTAATCCCCTTAAAGTCAAGGAATCATGTTTTTATTTTCCTTAAAAAACCTAACCAAAACAAAAACAACCCTGCAAAGCTTAACAGAATGTGTGAAATATGTAGATACTATTTCTTGAATGCAAAAAATGACTTAATATTTTCAGCCTTGTAAGAGCTGAAAGAAGAAACAAAAAGTGCCTCAACAGTCAAAGATAGGTTTATTTTGGAGAATAAACCTGAGGGAGATTCTGGCTGATTTCAACAGGAGCTTCTCTCTTACTAAGGGTACTTAAGCGTTTAGTGGGGAGAGCTTACCTCAGGCTCAGAGTGTTTCTGGGTAGAGAAGAGTTTTATCGTAGGGGTGGAACGTCTCTGTTCAGAGGGGAGGTTATTTCGGGGCTGGCATGTCTCTGGTCAGAGAGGGCTTTCATTTCAGGGCTAGAATGTTTCTGGTCAGAGGTGTCAATTGTGGTTTATAGTCATGCTGACAGCGATTAGGCTGATGTTTTTTGGCTGGATTTAGGTGGTTTTCAGTCAAGGGGAACTTAAACTGGCAGTGCTTGTCCAAGATGGTGATGCTCCTCTCTGTCAGACCTTACCTTATTACACCTTACATGTGGATCAGGGTTGTCTATGTTATATTTTTCCCATTTGGCTACCACTGTAAATTTCATATAAACTCTGAAAATAATGAATACTTAATTTTGGTGCATCCTTGAGCAATCTTCTTGAGTCCAGCAGCCTATACTGGGCAATCCAGATGATATGATACCATGGAGATTTTTCCTGTCCATCAGGAGATAAGGATTCAGGCTTACTGAGACTGCTGCTGCTGACTTTATTTATGGTTGTAGAGGTCACTCAACCTCTTGGTGACTCTGGAAAATCAGGAAAATACTGATCATCTTAGGTTCAGAAAGAATTACTGAAATGCCTAGTTTTGAAATGTAGGCTTAAGGAAGATAGCTTAATTTGATAATATTTTTATAAAAATGAGTTTTAGAATTAAAAAGCTTCATACCTAGAAACAAAGGAAACATAGTTGTTCTGGTTTTGTTTTAAAGAATGAGATGCTATCCTTCAAAAATTGAATAAGTATTTATTGTTCCAGAAGGTACATTGCTTTTTATACATATTTCATAAATGATACAGGATTTTACACATGTTCAATAGTTGGCTATTTGTTTAAAGACTTTTCTCCATGTCCTCCCCTCCCTTGCCTCCCACACACCCCGAAAAGATTTGCTCATCGCACTGTGCTGTTTCTTCTTAAAAATCCTAAGCACAAACAGGATAAATGGTTTAAAAATAATTCACACAACAAAAATAAATGAGGGAAGGAGCTGATGACTGGGAGTGGTGGTGGGAGAAGGAAGTGGGCAGAGGGTGAGGAAGTGGAGACATGCATCCTTTCATTCCATCATGCCAATGAAAGGGGTGGTGGCAAGTAGCAGCAGCAGCAATCCTGGCTGGCCTTCAACCTTTGCAAGGCACCTGGAGTCTGGGTTTGTCATTTAAAGTTTTTCTTTTCATATACAATGATCCCAAAGGAGGAAGAAAAAGAGAAAGAAACTCCTTGCCACAATGAGGAAAAATGAATCATGTGAAAGAAAAGGCCAATCAGTGGTGTGGCAGCCCCCATCATTCTTTCCATCCTGCCCCTACAGCAGTTAAAAACAGGATATTAGACACAGATTCCTTTGACTCTTCAAGTGCAGATGTCATCTGGAAATATGGTAGAGAACGTTTTGACAAAGTATAAGATTAATTTTCTTTCTCTCAATTTAAGATAAGAAAACATAGGGTGAAGAGAGTAGGCTGAAGGAAGCCCTAGAAGTGTATTCCTGTATAAAGATAAATTGCACCCTTTGAGATCCACACACTTGATTTACAACAACTGAAGTTGTGGAGGTGGGAGGGCTTCCAAACAGTGTGGAAGTGTGTGTCCTTTGAGATGAACAAAGCCTCCAGACAAGGCAGTGCCATCTGGCTGGCCTAGAATGCTGTCACACAAACAGATTAAAAATAAAATGATTTGGGTTGAAATGGCTACAGAGCCATGATTTTTAGCCAATTTGTAAACCTTACATCTTCCTGATTTGGTAGTGCAGCTGAACGCCCCTCCTCTCTCTGACTTGTGTAGTGGAGGGAGAGGGGATTATAATAGATATGCATATAAAGGAGGGCAAATTTTCCTCCTGTGAAAGACTAATTAATAGAAAAATGAAACCAAACCAACAACTTCATGCAGTGTTGCCAATGATTTTTAGACACTGATCTAGAGCACTGGGCTATACAGACATTTAAGAAAGTATTAAGAGATACAGTATCAATTATTAAACAGTTGTAAGTTGGTTCCAATTATCAAATGGAAAAAAAATGAGTGTAGCCAAGAGGTACAGGTAGGTGGTCAGTAAAGGGGTGCAGGAGGGAGAGATTCCTGGTAACTCCGCAGAGACTAGGTCTGATTTAAAATAAATGCTAATGATATGCACTCAGTTGCCATCCACATTATCATGAGAATTTGCTTTTCTGGTATATTTATTTACTCCTATGTCAAAAATAGGGAAAGTTAAATTAAAAAAATAGAGCAGAGTGGGTGCTGGTGTGTTACTGTTTTGCTGACTCTGCAGAGAAGATGCAAGAAACAAACACCCCCAGTGTCATTTTCTCTTTATGAATCTCTCAACTATATAACTGCATCATTTTCATCCAGAAAGTGAGATACTTGGTTAAGACAATATTCACTAAGCCCTTTGATCTTATATTCCACAATGCCTGATCCTCAGATTTTAACATTTCCTTCTTCCCTCAGATCCTTTCTGTTTTTGTTTTATAATTAAAGGTAAAAATGCTCTACACCCACGTGGCTCCCAGCTTCCACCTGCAATGCTTTAATTAAAAAGGCAAACAGGTGTTCCTTCTGCTGGGATTCAGAGGCTCTTTGCAGATCAATCTTTTTCACCAATTTGTCGGAGAGGCAGATGTACTTGTAATGGGTCTCTCAGTCTCTTAAGGTCCATTTCTGCCTAAAATAGAAACAAAAGGTGAGAAAAACTGGCTAGTGAAGCTTTCAATGATATTACTGTCTAGTGAAAAAAAGGAAACTGTCTGTTCTCCATTACTGTGAGTCAGAGAGATCATCTCAATTACTCTCAAAATAAGAGGGCCTTGAAAGACAAAGCACTTTAACTCATGGCATAGGATGACAAAGGGTGAATCCAAATGGAAGCTGTCCTTGGCAGTTTCAGATATCAACAAAGCCTCCAGAAAAAGCAGCGCTATCAACAGGGTAGGACTCAGGGGCTAAGAATGTAAGGAGATCTGAGACATACATCTTGATAGTACCGATTCTACTATCAAGCATCTTGATGGTATTTTTCCAATGAGAAGCCCTTTTACAAACCTTTGCCTGGAGCCAGAACTTTATGCTACTCAAGATTTTAGTTATTTATCCAGTATCTGTTTAGTTCTTACTTAGCCAGTGAATTTTAAAACAGCGTGT